GGGGGGGGGGGAGAATACCACAAACTAAGTTTCACCAGAAAAGTCCTCTGTTTTCAATTTAAAATGATTTACCAGATTTGAAATGAAAACTTTTCAATAAGGACAGTAAGGCTTCTTTTAAAACCATTTCATTTAAATGTTCATAGTATATTGTCACATGAAAAAAGTCTAGTTTTCAAAAGATGTATACTACTGTATATGCCTTAGTTATCTTCCAAAAATAGGGCACTGCCTTTATTCAAGGTCCTTACAACATCTAACAGGAAACTCTGTCACTTCACCTTAAACAAACAGGGTAAGTAGCTAGCCTATTGTTATTTAACAGCTTAGGGGTCACAGAAGATCATTTTAAATTTAGGAATATATGACATAAACATGTATGCTGCATGTATAATATGTATGCTATATCTGCATAGAATATGTATATTCTAATATATATAGATAGAAAAGTCTATCTATATATATATAAAAAAGTCTGAAAGATATAAGTTCAAATGAACTGGTATTACCTCTAGGTGATATGAAATCTATAATTTAAATTTTCTATTTTGTTATTTATCTTTTCTAACTTGTCTAAAAGAAAGGCTAAAATTTTTATTTTTATATTCCACTGAGCTGGTTTCAACAGCAGAACTTTTTCCTTATATGGTATACTCTTCAAGTTCTACTAAGGAAGAATGATTTTAAAGTTCTCTGCCATCTTTCTAAAATTGTCAACATTTCCTGGTACTCTGGTAAACTTGCTTCAAACAAAAGGATGTTAAATGTGCTAATTTTCATATACATCAACTTTTAGATACTGAAATGCAATTTCTTATAGATTTACCTTCATCATACATTTCTTCTATTAAATAGGCCTCTGCTCGATCTTTCAGGGCATTCACATTGTCAGGTTCCACCTGTAAAACTTCAGAACACACTCGAATAGCTTCAACAGGCTTCTCGTCCTAAACGTAAATGTGAGAAAGTGATTTATGGTTTCTATTCCGTATGTTAAGTGTTTACATTTCTGGGAATGGGTTAACTGTTACCTTAGAAAAGCAGTGGCAAATCCTTTCTTTTGAACGAATTGTGTATTCAGAAACACTAGGCTCTGTTTTCATCACAGATTCGTATTTGCTGGTCGCTTCTGTGTATCTATTAAATGAGCAAATCACGATGAGCAACAAATTCTATTTCTAGAGCCAGAGAAAGCCCTCTACTCCTCACTATATGTTGCTTAATCAGTTTACCTGAATGAGCACATGCCTTCAAACACTGCTTTTACCTTACTAATCTGTAGGAACAAGGAATGTACTACCTGCAATTAAGAGTTAGGAGATAAAACACATGACCCCAGAAAATGATAAATCAGAGCACACCTGTGAGTACCAATCAACCCACCTGATAAATTTCTTTACAGAAGAATGCTCATGATTTTGAAACTAAGGAAAACACCTTGTTAAAGTCTGACTTATATGGAGCACCTTCAGCAAAGCAGAGAGAAGGTTTTATTTTTTGGTCACTCTAACTTTCACGAAATCATGGAGCCCATAACATACATGCCATTTATTTTATATAATGAATGTTAATATTCACAACTAAGTACAATGTACTTCCTTGCAGAAGGAACCTGTTTAAATTCCTACCTTTACTAGCTTTCTAAGACCAATAAAAGCTATTTCAGCATTTTTTAAACTGTTGGAAAGTACTAGTCACGTTACACACACTAGGTTACTTCCCTCAGTAATGGCAAACTAAAAAGACATATAATGTGGCACATTATTCCCAAGGTGCTGCAATCTTCACTTTTAGATGCTGATGTGTTAAAACACAGCTTTAAATATAACATTTAAACAGAAGCTAGCTATGTCAAAATCCAAGTTGGGATATTGTTCTGAAGTTCTCCATGACAGTAAAACAACTGTAGGAAACTGCATAGAGTATGTGTGTCTTTGCTTCACTTCTTACAACTACATGTAAAACTACAATTAGCTTGAAATAATAAGTTCAATTGGAAAATACTGTACTTCACTTAAAAAACAAAACAAAAACTAGCTTCTGGGAAGGTGGAATAAATGTACTTTCCCCTATTTGTCCAACTAGGTACTAATAAATACCCTAGACATTAAATATTTTTAAAAATATGAAAAGACTAAGAAAGGGAAAAAGCAGGCAACCCAGCGAGGGACCTCTGGACCTGAGGGAAAACATAGTGTGGAAGTTCCCCAGGTTTCTTTTGTGCTTCATATACCCTAGACTTGGATCTGAGGAAGTCAGCAACCCAGAAGCCAACGGATACAGACAGACACACATGCGCACACACCCTCCCCAAACAAAACACCAAAGCCTGCTGCACCAAGTCAAAAGACCTGGAAAGATCAGCTTAGCCAGACAGAAAATGTTTTGACAATAATGGCTCTACTCCATGCAAACACCAGAGAAAATTATGGCCCCACCCCCACCAATGCCAGCAGGTAGCATGGAGAGCCCAGACTTCATCCATGGTTAGGCTCTAATGAGCTGCGCCCACACATTTACCAAGGTGGTGTCAGAGGCGGCCAGGTGGGGAGCCAGGACTTCTATCCATGGCTGAAAATGAGTCCCCTAACCTCTCACCTGCACCGAGCAGTAGCAAGAAGCCCCCACACCTCAAGTATTGATGAAGGCTGAGTGGGAAACGTCTACCTCCACCTGCCCACCCCCACTTTTCTGGAACAATGTCAGAAAAACCCAGCCAAAACAGAAGGTTTAAATAAAAAACAGTCCCATAAGATGAAAATGTCCAGGTTTCAATTACAAACCACTCATTATACCAAGAAACAAATCTCAAACTGAAAAAGACAATAAATTCCAACACTAACAGAACAGACATGTTAGAATTATCTGATAAAAATGTTAAAGCAACCAAGAAAAAAGCAACGAGAAACATGTTTAAGCCAAATGAAAAAACAGAATGCCTCAACAAAGAAACAAAGTCTCAGCAAAGAAATAGAAGATAAAACAAGAATAACCAAAGGAAATTTTTAGAACTGGAAAACAGAAAAAGTGATATAAAAGTCTCATTGAGTGTGCTGAATAGCTGACTGAAGGAGACAGGAAAGAACCAGTGAATGAGAACAGAAATTACCAAATCTTAACAGAGAGAAAATAAACTGAAAAAAATGACCAGAGCCCAGGAACCTGTGGGGCTATAAAAAAGTTATTAACCTTTATGTCAATCAGAATCTAAGAAGCAAAGTATACAGTGGGAAGGCCTGGAAAAATATTCCAAAAAATATTAGCTGGAAACTTCCCAAATTTGACAAGATATAAACCTACATATTCTAGAAACTAAAAATCTAAAAAGGATAAACATAAGGAAATGCACATCAAGATACATGACAATTAAACTTATGAATACTAAAGACAAGGGAAAAAATCTTGTAAGCAGTCAGAAGAAAATCATGCCTTATTTTTAGGAGGAAAAACAATTAAAATGACAATGGATTTCTCATCAGGAATCATGGAGGCCAAAAAGAAGTGGTAGAATGACAAAAGAACTGTTAACTCAGAATCCTATGGGGGGGGGGATCTGTATACTCTGTATACATTTCTATCACTCTAGAGACCACATTACCTTTTAATAATCAATTTATATGTCTGTCTCCCTCACTATACTATCAGCTTCTTAAGACCAAAAACTATAGTCATATGCATTTCCACAACCCCAGGATATAGTCAGTGCTTGATACAAGAGATACTCAATAAATATTTGGTGGGAAAAAAAATAAACCTGGTAAGAATACTATGCAGTTACTGTTCCTTATATTCTGCCTTATTTTTTTAAATGTACAATTGTAGTTTTGTTAAGGCCCAGTGCTATCTAAGATACTCCATCCTCAATTGCTAAGAGTAAAAAAGCAAGCAGTTCAATTGTTCTTTCTGCCTACAAAGGATACATGATGGAATGCTAGAGTCTAGACAAACATATGCTTACCTGCCATCTCTGATGAGCTCTTCAGCGGACTCAATCAGCTTATTAAGTTTCTTTACTTGTTTATAGTGTGCAAAACACCTTTTATGATCCTGGTCAAGTTTAAGACATTCACGAACTTCACTGCTCGTGTATTTAAAAAGAGGAAAATATTCCAAGTCAAAATAATCAATGAGTAGTTTTCCATACTAAATACAGAAATCACAATAAGAGGTACTTTTTGTTTGTAACAATTAGAACACACTGGCTTAATAATTTACCATATATTTTTATATATGATATTGGACCACGCAGGCACACTTACTAATTCAAATTAAAATGACTTGAGTTATACATTAAATACTCCATTTTTTTTCTTACAAAAATAACATCCTTATTTACTTTAATAAACAGAGTTCATGAAAATAAACCTATGTGGAAGTAGAATGACTTAAAATGTATAAATAAATAATAGAATATAAACACAAAATACATAAACAGATAATAGAAAATAAAAACAACCTTAACCACAATCTTACCAATTTAAAATTAAAAAGAAAATGGGATTTTATCTTACTGCCAACAATAAAATGATGAGATGTGTGTGCCACTAGAACTGACCTGAGGGACAGTTCGTGATCTCCTAGTTGATAGTACAGTGTGCTGATTTTATAAAAAGCCTCAGTGTTGTCATTCTTCAATTTTGATGCAGCTTTTAAGTCACTTATCGCTTTCCTAGGTTCTCCTTCTTTTATAAAACACTCAGCTCGAAGTTCCCGTAGTTCAGCATCCCAAACACAAACCTTGAAAAACAAAAGAACTAGACTTTAAGAAAGGAACAATAAATTATGCACATTCATACTTGCACCCAACATGTTTTACCTACATATTTATCCACATAAAACATCCTTAATTAATGTGGTAACTTCTATACAGTAAATAGTATTTAAAAGTCTGATACAATTTAGATGTGACAAAAATAATATGACTTAATAGAATAATTTCTCCAAGGATATTGTAAATAAACTAATGGGGAAAAGAATATATATACTAACAAGGCCCTTTCCCTACCTCCTTCAATTATATAACTGTAAAACTTTGAAAATAAGAATGCATGGCATTTACTAGTAGAAGGTTGTTCCCAGTGAAGCATATTTGATTTTTGAAGAGAATATTCTGTAATCAAATTTCTGTAATCAACATTCTAATTTCTAGTATCAAAAAATAAAATCTAGCCCTAGCCGGCTTGGCTCAGTACTTAGAGAGTCGGCCCGAGGACTGAAGGGTCTCGGGTTCAGTTCCAAGCAAGGGCACATACCTCAGTTGCAGGGGTTGCAGGCTGGATCCCCGGCCCTGGTCGGGGAGCATGCGGGAGGCAACCAATCTATGTATCTCTCTCACATCGATGTTTCTCTCTCTCTCCCCCCCCTTCCACTATTCTGAAAAGCAATGGAAAAAATATCCTCAAGTGAGGATTAAAAAATAAAATAAAATCTAGGTTCTAAATTTGCAAAATATTTTTACTCTACTAATAATGAAGTAAAATTCCCTTTTGTAAAATGTAATCTTGAAATTAAATCCTCATATCACAAAAAGGAAAAAAAAAGAGGAAAACAAAGTGAGAAGGTTGAGGCTTCATCATTTCCACTTTATTGAAAAATTTAAAATGTTTAGTAAATGCACTGGTAGTCTTCAAACTATAAGCCCAAAAGCTCACCAATAAGGCCTGTGGAAGTATCTATCTGCATTTCTTAGAGTTGTTCTAAAGTCATGTCAACTTCTCACATTATATTAAGATACCAAAATCAACATTGGACATTAAGTATCATGGACAATAAGCTAGGTCAAAACAGTTTAAATACTGGAAGGTAAAAATTGTAATTGTATTTTTCCTTAATAAAGCATTTACAAAATAATTTAGCAAAATGTGTTTTCCACTAGGTCACATCACAATTTCCTCTATAAAATTATCAAAATGCCCATTCTGCATACAAGTTTACTGCCAGGATTAAATGAAACTATACCATAGTGCTATGAAAACGATAAATAAACTTGAATTATGATTGCTTTCATTTGAATATTTTAGTAGACTTCCTTCTGAAACCACCTGTTATTAAGTCCTTCAGAGGCAAGGAAACTGTAGACTTCATTTTCCCAACCTAGAACCATCTGGATTCAAAAACTTTTTTCTTTTTCTTTTTTTCAAATATGTTTTTACTGATTTCAGAGAGAGGAAGGGAGAGGAAAAGAAAGAGAGAAGCATCGATGATGAAAGAGAGTCATTGATTGCCTGCCTCCTCTGTGCTCCCTATTGGGGACCAAGCCTGCAACCCAGGCATGTGCCCTGACCAGAAATTGAACTGTGATCTCCTGGTTCATAGGTCAGTGTTCAACCACTGAGCTACACCTGCTGGGCTGGATCCTATAAACTCTTCATCTGCCTTCTTCCCTAGAAACTTCTCACTCTAAACACTCCTCTTCCTCCCAAACATTATTTTTCCATTTTCTTAACCAACTCTTTCAACTTGTACCCCATTATTTAACCTCTAGAGATTTCTTCCCTGCTTCCAAAAAAAAAAAGGTAAAATCAAACAAAAGTAGCAAAGCAAGCAATGTGTGAAAACACATAACTCCCATTCCACAGCACATTCATTACATTTACTGAAAACTTCAGTTCCAAATTTTGTTCTATATAAACACTATCTTTCACTAAGAGCTAAAAGCCCAACGACCAGTCTGATTTTATCCTATCTAGGTTTTCAGTGGTACATAACACATCGAAGTATATAAACACATGCCTTATCGTAAAAAGCAGTTAAGCATTAGGCTTGTCAGCTGCAATATCTAAGAAACTTACCTCTAAAATCTTATCAAGGGAGGTTATAGCAGCAATATAATCCGAGTTGTCAAAAGCATCAAGGGCTTGTGAACGCAAACGCTGCATTTCATCAGATTTTATAAGTTGAGACTGGGCTTCCTTTTCTTCATTTTCACTTGGATTGGATTTGAGCTATAAGAATAACAAATTAAATTAAACAAGGTTTGCAATCGCTTAAGTCTGATACCCATACTATATGCAATGAGCTAGCCATTCCAAATAAGTTCATTGGGGAAAAGGGTAGAGACACTGGCAAAACTGGCTTATCCACTGACTTGCTCCTGGTGCTGACCACCATAGGAAGCAACAGCAAAGGCAGCTTCCACCAGCATGGTGCACAAGAGCAAGCAAGCAGAGCTAGGGTCAAAGGACCTGGATCCCCCAAAACTTACAAGAGCGTAACTATATTTAGGAATGTGAAAGCATAGAGAATGAACAGGAAAGCACTATTTCTTGTGTATAGCTCTAGACTCACAGGGGTACGGAACTTTTTTTTTTTTTACATATATCTTTATTGATTTCAGAGAGAGGAAAAGAGAGGGGGAGAGAGAGATAGAAACATCAATGATTAGAGAGTCACTGATCAAGCCCGCAACCTGGGCATGTGCCCTGACCGGGAATCAAACCCCGATCGCCTGGATCCCAGGTCGATGCTCAACCGCTGAGCCACGCCAGGCTGGGCAGGGAACTTTCTTATGTATAGCTCTAGACTCACAGGGGTAGGGAACTTTTTTCTGCCAAGGGCCATATGGATATTTATAACATCATTTGAGGGCTATACAATATTATCAACTTAAAAATTAGCCTGCTATATTTGGTCAAACATTAACTCACCCCTAATGTGATGGCTGGAACTGCTTCTCTTTGGTGAGGCCTTGGCAGGGCCAGACCAAATGATTTTGCAGGCCATGCACAGCCCGCGGGCCGGACATTCCCCACCCCTGATTTAATACTAAGAATATTACCCATAAGCTATGTTTTACTCTTTCCAGTTACAGATAAAGAAATTGTATGATTACATAACTTGTCAGAAGTCTTGCTAACATTCAAACTAAGGTCCCTATCTCCAAAGCCCATGCTTTGGATGATGCTGATGAAGATCAGTCATGACAACAGAAAACATTTACTGAGAGCTTTCTATGCTCCAGGCACTCTTCTAGGCTAAACCTAAAACCCTAAAGGACATTACAAATTATCTTCATTTTACACAGACGGAAACTAGCTCAAAGTCATTTATAGACCCTACATTCTTAACTGCTCTCTCTTTGTATGCACTGATATCAGACATGCACCTGCTTACTTGACATCTCCAATACAACATCCTAATGGCATATCAATAATAGATCAACACAGAATTCCACTTCCCATTTCCAACCCACTGCCACAACCACTACCACAACCACCACCACCACCACCCATCCTCTTCAATAAATGGCTCCTCTTTATTACTTAGGCCAAATCCTAGGGGCCATGCTCCTTCACCACAGTTTCTTCTTTCCCTTATGTAATTATGAGTCTGAATCCATTTTACCGCTGACAGCTTTGAAACCTTATCCCCCCTCCCTCTTCTGCATCACATCTGAGCAAGATGATAAGAAAGCACATGTCAATCTCTCTCAAAGTGGGACAAGTCTTAAAATTGATGGAGTTTTACCATTCGCCCACAGACATGACTGCACATGCGCAAAAATGGTCTCATGCACTTCAGTTGAGTTATGAGCATTGTTGGTACTATCCACACTGCGTTTAACTGCCATGTAAAATCTTCAAGAAGTTAATGTATGCAGAAGGGCAATGAACAGAGCAGTGCGGTATAATAAAAGTGTAATGCTAAGATTCAAACAGCTCTTTTTACAAGCACACAATAAAAATACTAAGTTATAAGAAGGCACTCACTGTTTAATTGACAACATTTATTCTTTTATTAGTATATAAAATATTAGTATTTCTTACAACTGATGGCTCCTTATATTTGGTGAATTATGGTATATGATCCAGTATTCTATCTGATTCAAAGAAATCCAGAACAATTGTCAGAATCACAGCACAGAATTCGACGTTATAACCAAGTTTATTGCATGCTTTTAAAAAGTACTATTCCCTCTTCTTCCCACCTCATAATACTTTCATATATATTTTGTAAACTTTGGATGTTTGTGATTTAGTTACCTTGAGACAATATAATCATCCTTTTTGCACTAAAAGTTCAAGATGAACAAACAGCACTGGCTGGTATGGCCTGGTGGTTAGAGAGTTGGTCCACACATGGAAGGGTCTCGGGTTTGATTCCCAGTCAAGGGCACATACCTGGGTTGCAGGTTTGATCCCCGGCCCTGGCTGGGGCATGCGCAGGAGGCAACCAATTGATGTGTGTCTCTCCCTCCCATCTTCTCTCCTTCTAAAAATCAATGCAGAAAATATCCTCGGTAAGGGTTAACAAAACAAAAAAAAAGATGAAAAAAACAATGCCTAAAGTTATGTTGCTATATAGTGGATTTATGTTAGCTGGATTTGTTTTCAATTAACACAGACCACCAACTACCAATGGGGAGTTTATTAAATATCCTTCCATAGGTTTATACTTGATTTAATAATTAAATTGCAGTTGGTACTGACGTTTACCTAATATATGTTACTCATCTAGATCAAAATGCAAGTTTCTAGCTTTGTCAAAATAAAAAAATATAGAAATATGAAATATGCATTTAAATTTACTATTACCTTCATTGTATTTGGATGTCATGGAACACTGCCTCAATCTAAGTATTTTCCACTTAAACCCAAAGCATGGTTAGCAAAGATAAACAAAACACTGAACACCAAGAATAGATGAGTTTAAATTGCATTTACTGTATGCTGGACTGGGAATAAAAAGGAAGAATTAGATTACAAATTATTAAATGAGTTGCTGAGAATCAAAGGTTTTATAATACGAAGAAAGTCAAATTTTCTAACCCATCCTTCTCCCCTAAATAATTTCTCTCTGGGCTCCTGTCTCAGGGAATAGCATAAATATGTATGAATTTCACCAATCTAAAAACCTGGGCATCACACTTAATTTTCTTCTCCCTTACCCCAATCATTGCACCTCTCTTGAGCCAAACTCCTAAATGTCTGTTTCTCTCAATCCCCAACTACTCTAGCCTAATATTTGGCTTCCGTGAGGTCACACTTGTATTACTTACTGCAACAGCTTCATCAACAAGCTATCTGCTTCCACCCTTGTCTTCTTTCAACCAATTCTTTGGAGTGGCCTGGATTTTACTGAAGCAAATACCTGATCATGACACTCTCAACATAACCCATCTATGGCTAAAAATATGCAGCTCCTAGCACTACATATGTTCTCTTTGCAATTAGACATCTGCTTCCCTGTCCAGTATTCTCAAACCTCTGGCTCTGCTCTTAATGGAGGCATATTTTTTTAACTGACAGGTTTTGTCTTGCCTCCGGCTTTTGCACAGGCTGCTCACCCTCTGCAGTGATGGTCCTCCTATCCACCTTGCTAACACAGATTCATTCTTTTAACATTCATATTTGAAACACATTCCCTCCTTTAGGAAAGCCCTTCTTGACTCCAGACCCCCAAATCTCAGCTAAGTTGGATGACCCTTCTGTATGTTCCCATAGGGCTCAATCATAGCAGCACTCAGTATATGGTATCATATTTGCCTGATTAGTTCTCACCAAGTATAATTTCTCCAAAGGCAGAGACTAGTTTTCTGTCAGCAACCCTTTAACACCTACGACTCTGAGTAGCAAACAATATGCACGGAAATGCTGCTAAACTAACAAATGATTTTATGCACTGGTTACAGAGGAGTCACTGATAGCTACAGACAAACTAAACTACCTAAGATCCTGTTTAGGACTAGGACAGCTGGTATGGACCTGAGGTGATGCCTGTTTACAGGAGACCCTCTGGCAGCAGAGTAACCTGTATACATAAAGTATGAGATTCTCACTGTAGCCCAGAAAGAGATTAAGCATATTCAAACTTTTGTTCCATTACATAAAATGTAGCTGAAAATATCTACCTGGTTGTACATAGTTCTTTATTAGTAAGATGCTATCTTTAGTATATTTAATAGGTTGGCTGGTGCCTGCTCTTAAATACCATTAAAAGCTCATTTAACCAAGAACATATAAAAGCAAACAAGTTATTATATATAATCTGTGTTCACAAACCTTTGAAAATTAAAGTGTAAGAATTCTTTAACTGGTAAAGATAAAATATAGTCATAACATTAAAATGTTCAAGCCACACCCAGAAATAATCCATTTTATGATTCCAAACAATAGATAGAATCATGTCATCTATTCAATTTCTATGCTTCACAAGGAGAAAAATGAGGTTCCCAGAAGGTATGATTTTCTCAAAGCCACTTTATACTTTCTTTTCAAGAGGTAACCAATATAAGTTTTTGCATGCCTTCCCAGAGGCTTCTGTCGATATGCAACCAAATACATGTTTTGTCACTTCTTTACACAAATAGCAGCAAATGTTCTGCACTATGTAAAACACATACACGTTTGAGTCCTGTGCCCAAATTCTGTAGGAATAGCCTTCATAGGATGCATACGAACAGTTACTAATTACAGTAGAGGCAAAACAGTACAGTACTTAAGAGTGCAGGTTCTGGAATCTTAAAACCTACTTTAGGCTTACTCGTGGTGTAACCTTGGGCAAGTTACTAAACCTGTCTAAATCTCAATTTCCTCTTGTAAAATGAGACTAAACCTGTTCTGGAATCTTAAAACCTACTTTAGGCTTACTCGTGGTGTAACCTTGGGCAAGTTACTAAACCTGTCTAAACCTCATTTTCCTGTTGTAAAATGAGACTACAGTAGTCTCTTCCCCATCTGAGGGGGATACATTCCAAGACCCCCAGTGGATACCTAAAACCACGGAAGTACATTATGTTTTTTCCTATACATATATACCTATAATAAAGTTTACTGCTTCTCTTTGGCATATCCTAATTGCCAGCATCACTACTCTTGGGCTCTAGGAACAATCTGGTAAAGTAAGGGTGACTTGAATACGAGCACTGCACTACCTCAACAGTTGACCTAATAACCAAGATAGCTACTAAGTGACTAATGGGCTCGGAACATATACAGTGTGGATATACTGCACAGAGGGATGATTCACACAATTTTTGGACCATAGTTCACCACAGGAGAGCAAAACTGCAGACAAGAGGGGACTACTATACCTATATACCACACCCAGAGGTAGAACAATGATTAAGTAAAATAATCCATGCAAATCACTTAGCAATATGCCCCATAGATCCTGAATGCTATGTAAACCATGACTGAATTACAAAGATCTAAAACTCATGGTTCTTACCTGTTGTTCCAAAACTTTTTTCCTTCAAAATTTGTTGTATTCAATTTTACAAAAAGAAAAAGAGCTATAAGTTTTAATTGCCACTAATACCAATCTAGCAGACATAAAAGTTTTCTGTAGTGATAAATAACATTTGTACAAAATTTTTATTTTGCCTTTTAACTTTTTCTACATCTAGGTCTATAAAGCAACACCATACATAAATAATTCTTGTTAATAAATATTATTCTTTCATATTGACACAATATTCTCTAATAGTTTCCAAAACAAATTGAGATCCAATAAGTATCTTTGGGCAAAATGGGTTTTTTTCATAATACAGATTTTCCCCCCCACAAAAGTTCTGTTTATATCTACAATGTTAACAGTATTATATGACTGGAAACATTTCCTTTAAGTCCCACAAACATTAGGCTCTATAATATTTATTTTTCTAAACTTAACAGATAGTGGTCCCTCGAAATAGCTCGAATGTTCACCTCTTCACTTAAAAAGACTGAATATTGGAGATACTGGCTTTGGCTTTGTATCTCTGTGTTTTCACCTGATAACATTCTTTTATTATTTGTACAGTAGGATCTAGGTTCTAAATACTTAAAATTTAATCCTATATATGTTAACTGATAAGTTCTTCTCAATATTCCCATTTTATGGTCCTATTTCCTCCTCTGCCACCCACACTCTTGGGACACTGTACTTACTATCTGGACAAAGGATATGAATGTGAGATTTTCTAATTATTAATCTGAATTTTAAATCCACACATTCCAGACAACCTAGATGTACTTCAAGTAAAACTTAACATAAGCCCTGGCCAGTGTGGCTCAGTTGGTTGGAGCATCATCCTGTAAACAGAAAGGTGGTGGCAGGTTAGATTCCTGGTTGGGGCACATACCTAGGTTGCGGGTTCAATCCCCAGCCAGAGCTCATAAGGGAGGTAACTAATCAGTGTTTCTCTCTCACCTCTTTCTCTCTCTCTCTCTAATCAATGAAAAACATCCTAGAGTAAGAATTTTTTTTTTTAATTTTAAATACTCTAAAATATGTGAATTCTATACTTGTATTTTTCTCTAAACCAAATCCAATCTAATCATAATTATTCTTATATACAACAAAACTGTTACATAAATTTTTAAATGGCTTCTTCAGTGTTAAGATTTAACTCCCTCCCATTTGTAATGCCCATTAAGATTTTTCTCATAGAATTAAATACAAGCTGAGTACTTTCCTGATGAAATGATCATAAAAAGATTTTTCAATATGAAACCTGAAATTAAAAACACAGTACCATTTAAAATCACTCCAGGAGAAAAAACAAAATTAGGTAAACAGTTAACAAGTGGATCTATGTGCTGTAAGTTACAAAATGATGATAAAAGAAATCAAAGACCTAAATAAATGGGAGGCCAACTGTGTTCATGGATTGGAAAATTCAATATATCAATTCTCCCCCAAATTTACCTATAAGAGGTTTGTTTCAATTCCTATCAAAATATCAGCAGAGCTTTTAGTACACAGACAAGTTTATTCTAAACTTACATGGAAAGGAACAGGCTGGAGAATAGCTATAACAATCTTAACAGAGAAAAATAAAGTGGGGAAGAATCACTCTGTTATTAACATTGAGCTATGATAATTAAGAGAATGTAGGAATGGCAGAAACATAGATCAATGGAACAGAACAGAGAATGCAGAAAGATACCCACACAAGTACAACTAACAGATTATTTTTAAAGGTGCGAAAGCAATTCAATAAAAGAGGAAAAGCCTCTTCAAAATGTGGTGCTGGAACAATAAGACATACAGAGGCAAAAGAAATGAACCTCAACCTAAACCTCACACGTTACACAAAAATGAACTCAAAATAGATTCTAGACTAAATAAATGTAACACATAAAACCATAAAGTATATAGAAGATAACACAAGAGAAAAATCTTTGAAACCTAAGGTTTGGTAAATAGTTCTTAGGCATGATACCAAAACTCACAGGAAAAAAGGAAACATAAATTGGACTTCATCAAAATTTAAAAAAACCTTTGCTCTCTGAAAGACCCTCTGAAAAGTTGACAAAACAGACTGGTAGAAAATATTTGCAAATCACATATGTGATAAAAGTATCTAATATAAAGAACTCCCAAAACACCATAGTGAAAAAGCAAACAATCTAATTCGAACATAGGCAAAAGAGGTGAACAGACATTACACCAAAAAGGATTTACAGATAGCAAATAAGCACATGAGAAGATCATTAGCCATTGGGGAAATGTGAATTAAAACAATGTACTATCACTACACACCTCTCAGAATGGGTAAAAAAAAAAAAATTGTGGCAATGCTAAATACTGGCAAGGATGCAGAGGAACGTAAAATGGCTCAGTCACTTTGGAAAGCAAGTTGGTGGTTTCTTATAAAACTAAACATGCAACTACAACCCAGAAATTGCACTCCTGGGCATTTATTTATCCCAGCAAAATGAAATTTTATGTTTATACTACTACCTATATGAATATGTTCATAGTAGTTTTATTCATAATAGCCAAAAAGTAAAAACAACATAAATGTCTCCGTTAATGAATGAATAAATAAAATGTGTCCTACACATACCATGGAATACTGAGCAATTAAAAGGAACAATCTAAGTGATATATGCAACAATCTGGATGACTTTCCAGGAAATAATGCTGAGGGGAAAAAAGTCATTTCTAAAAGGTTACATACATTTGAGTCCATGTATACAATATTTTTGAAATATCAAAATTTAAGAAATGAATAACAAATTAGTGGTTGCTAGGAGTTATGGATGAGGGGCTGAAGGATTATGGAAAAGAAATGGGTGTGGTTATAAAAGGTCAATAGGAAGGATGTCCTTGTGGCAATAAGCTGTTCAGTACTTTTGACTGTGGTGGTATAGAAAAACTATAGAATACAGAGAAATGAATACTAGTAAAACTGGCAGAATCTAAGTGGACTGGTAGATTGTATCAATGTCAATATCTTGGTTGTAGTACTGTACTACAGTTTTATAAGATGTTTTCATTGGGGAAAACTGGGTATTGGGTAAAAGGTACAAAAAGCCTCTGTGTTAATTACAATTTCATGGGAATGTACAATTACCTCAATGAAAATTTCAATTAAAAATTAAATATTCAGTACAGATGCATATTCTCATGGAAGAATCCCGTAACAATAACAACAAGGGTAGTGTTAAGAACACACTAGCAGGAGCATGACTGTCAGAGAACAATCTAACAGTGAAAAGTCACATGAAAGTACCCCATCTTGTTTCTGAGAGGTTTTAATATTGATAACAGAAAAGGCATTAATTAACTCAACACATACCCAAAGTTCCAAAAACTCTCTTTTCCAAAGCCCACTAAGGATAAATTTATGCTAAAGCTTCATTCTAAATTGTGTTATTTCTAAAAGGCTCCCCTAATGTGGTGATTGGGGGAAAAATTCTAAGTAATATATTTAAGTATTTGTTAAAAAGAAAACACATTCTTATGTTTCATCATTTATTTATCAATTCAGCAGATTTTTATACAACACTTGCTATGTACAAAGGACTGGAAATGTATGCTCCCAGCACCTTCGCATCTCCACCACCTGTCCTTCAGCCTGCCCTCAAGTAGTAAGGAAGATTAGATAAACAGAAAATTACATCCAATGTTATCGAGACCATGAGACAGGGTTCTGGTTCAAAAAAATTATAATGCTTTTTGGATTTTTCTGCTTACGACTGAGTATGCGGTATGGTTATGAAAATGTTAGAAATTGTAGTCTTCTTGTCATAGTGGTTATCATCATAGTAACTAAGCATTTTGATAAACCAAAAAAGGCAAATAATGAATAATGGACTCTACATATATGCCCTTTCTAAACCATTCCAGAAACAAACCAATGGAGAAAAAAAATGCAGGTCTTAAAACAAGCCCAATGAGGGCATAAAGACATTGGGCTGGCTATCTCTCTCTAACTCCTTTTTCAAGACATACCCCCTTCAATTACATATTATCTGTACATCCCCCCAACAATCCAAAACACTTTACACTTTTCTTGAACAGAACTCAGATATTTTATTTAACACTATAGATATACTGTCTAGTAAAATAAAGGTTTGTTAAATGAACAAATGAAGTGGGAATACAGAGCTCTCTGATCTGTTCCCCCAGTTTCATAACTTTTCATCTCTGCCCTGTCGGTATAGGATCTTTCAGTATAATAATACAAGGCTAGTTGTGAAAGGTTGCGAACATTAGCAAATAAAACGTCAGTTTGTCATAGAGACTTTGGACTTTACTCTGCCATCTTGATGGAAATCCTCAACAACACTTTACGCTTTGTAAAGTAGCCATATGGGAAATGCAAAATTCCCTTTTAAGAATCGGTTTCATCACTCCTTTCAAATCAAATAAAGGGATTCCCAAGTCACTTTAGAGGACTTCTGGAATAGCTCAGCTGACGTCTCCAGATTCTAATAGAAGACAAAACAGAGCATGTAAACTAACTCAGGACATAACTGAGTTAGGATTATCTATTTGTTCCTCAGACTTTACCTACCATCTATTAAAGCGATTCTTTGATGTCAGCCCTAAATATTAATTCAGGAACTGTGATTCTTATATACACAAATCAAATGATTTTTCATTTTAGCTATAAAGTTATTATTAAATATCTTCCTATAAAATATAAATCTAACATATTCACTCAATATAACATGTTCATAGAGCCAAATACAAATTGAACTTAACTTACCACTTTTTTAAAATCATCTTCTGCTTCATCAAGTTTTCCTTGTTTGAGTAATAAGTGACCTCTCTGTAATCTTGCCTAGTAAAAAAAAAAAAGGTGTTCTGAGTACTATGCATTTCTAAATTTGCTTTAAACACAAAGAATAAAACTAACTAATCTAATGAAATATTAATGAAATAGTTATTTTCCAATGCCCATTTGATTTGGCACTCTTAAGAATATTCCCTGGAACCCACAAATATGTGTAATTTTTGATTAAGTATGCTTCCTTAAAAATACTTTCTGCTATATCCAAAATGTTGAAAACATGTCTACACAAAATCTTGTACATGAATGTTCACAGCAATAGTCAAAAAGTGGAAACAACCCAAATTCCCATCAACTAATAAATCAATAAGCAAATGTGATATACCCATACAACAGAATTATTATTCAGCCATGAAAAGGAATAGAGTACATGAACCTTGAAAACATTATGCTAAGTGAAAGAAGTCAGACACAAAAGGCTATATAATTGTATGATTTCATTTATGCAAAATATCCAAATTCCATAGAGACAGAAAAATAAGTGGTTGCCAGGGGCTAGGGAAGATATGGGAATGACTATTAATGATTACAGGGTTTCCTTTTGAGGTGATAAAAATGTTCTGGAACTATACAGTGATGATGCTTGCTTACCCTTGGGAATATATGGAAGGTGCCCAACTTATGATGGTTTGACTAACAATTTTTCGACATTACAACAGTGCAAAAGTGATACACATTACTAGAAACTGCATTTTGAATTTTGATCTTTTCCCAGGCTAGCAACAATGTGGTGCAATACTCCCTCGTGATGCTGAGGAGCAGCAGGGAGTCACAGCTCCCAGCCAGCCAACAATCAAAACGGTGAACCACTGATACTCAACAGTATACTGTTGTCAGTGTTTTTTGGATACTGTGTTTTGTGTTTTGCACCCCATCATGTCCACAAAATGCCCATCTGTGTGCCAGTGTACTTTCAACTATGTATGTTAATGGTGAGTACCCATATACCCATTCTGTTTATCACTTTCATTATTCAATAAAATACATGAGATATTTAACACTCTATTATACAATAGGCTTTGTGTTAGATGCTTTTGCAAAAACTGTAGGCCAGCCTCAGACCGCACCACAGCCCTAGGCAATCAACTCCACAACTGACACGTCTAAAGGGTGGCCCTGGCTAGCACCAGAGTCCCACTAAAATGACTCCCACTACATGGGGTCAGTCCCTGCACAACAGCTTGTCTGCTGTAGTTGTGGCCAGCCCTCAGAGTAAATAAGCCTGAAGGTCAACTGCACCCACTGACATGCCAGCAGCAATCAAGGCCCAACTACAACAGGAAGGTACATATAACCCACAGTGGGGACACCCCTGGAGAGCCTGGCTCAGGTGACCAGGGAGACTGTGCCACTGGGACCCATAGGACACCTTTTACATAAGGCCACTCTGTCAAGACCAGGACACAGAGCAGATTTCCCTAACACACAGAAACAAGCAAAGTGAGGAAACAAAAAAACATGTACCAAATGAAAGAACAGGACAAAACTCCAGAAAAAGAACTAAATTAAATGGTGCACTCTACCAGATAGAGAGTCAGAAATACTGGTTTTAAGGATGCTCAACAAGTGGGAGAAGAACAGATGAACTTGGTGAGAAGTTGAACAAAGAGACAGAGAACATTTTAAAAAAAGGATATAGAAAACATTAGAAAGAACCTATCAGAATTAAAGAATATAATAACTAAAGTGAAGAATATACTAGAGGGAATCAACAACAGATTAAATGAAGCAGGGAATCAAATCAGAAATCTGAAAGAGAAAGTAGTAAAAAACCCCAACTGGAACAGCAAAAAGAAAAAGGTTTTTAAAAATGAAGATAATTTAAGGAACCTCTAGGGCAACATCAAGCATACCACCATTCATATCATAGGGGTCCAGAAGAAGAGAGAAATGGATTAAAAACCTACTTGAAGAAATAATGACTGAAAACTTCCCTAACCCATCAAACGAAATCAACATACAAGTCCGGGAAGCACAGAGAGTCCCAAATAAGATGAACCCAAAAAGGCCACAAAAAGACACCTCATAATTAAAATGCTAAAAGTTAAAGACAAAGAATCTCAAAAGTAGCAAGAGAAAAGCATATAGTTAAGTACAAGGGAACTCCCATCAGGCTAGCAGCAAATTTGTCAAAAGAAACTTTGCTGGTCAGAAGGGATTTACATGAAATATTCAGTGAGGAAAAGCAGGGACCTACAACCAAGATTACTCTACCCAGCGACGTTTATCATTTAAAATCAAAGGAGAGAGTTTCCCAGGCAAGAAAAAGCTAAAGGAGTTCATCACTACCAAACCAGTATACAAAAAATGTAAAAGATACTTTTTTAAGTAGAAGAGGTCAAACTGTGAATAATACAGGAAAGGAAAAAATCTCGCTTACAAAGGCAAATACTTAGTAAAAGCAGTGAATCAACAAATTATAAAGCTAGTACCAAGGTTAAAAGAAGATCATGTGTAATTACAACAATAAATTTAGGAATATACATAAACACACACAAAATAAGTAAAAAACACAGAAAACATAAATGTGGACTGGATAAGTAAAAACTGTACTGATTTTAAAATAATTGCAAACCTAAGTGACCATCAACTTAAAATAGACTGCTTTAAACATAACTTGGTATATATAAAGCACATGGTAACCATAAACCAATAATCTATAAGAAATATAGAAGAAATAAAGAAAAAGGAACCCAGACATAACATAGAAAGTCATCGACATACAAGGGAATAGCCAAGAGAATAAGAACACAGAACTACAAAAACAATCAGAAAACAATTAATAAAATGGCAATCACTACAAACCTATCAATAACTGCTTTAAAAAAAAAAATGGACTACATGCCTGGCTGGGCGTGGCTCAGCGGTTGAGCGTCGACCTAAGATCCAGGCAATCGGGGTTCGATTCCCAGTCAGGGCACATGCCCAGGTTGTGGGCTGCAGCCAATCAATGACTCTCTCATCACTGATGTTTATCTCTCTCTCTCTCGCTGTCCCTCTCCTTTCCTCTCTCTGAAGTCAATAAAGATATATTTAAAAAAAAAAATGGATTACATGCTCCAATCAAGTAACACAGGGTGGCTGAAAGGATAAAAAAATAAGGCTGTACATATAATGCCTACAAGAGACCCACTTCAGATCAAAAGACACACACTGACTGAAAGTAAAGGGTTGGAAAAACATACTTCATGCAAGTGAAAATGAAAAAAAGGCTGGAGTAGCAAATTTATATCAAACAAAATAGACTTTAAGAAAAAGTCAGTAACAAAAGACCAAGAAGGGTATTTCATAATGATAAAGGGATCAATCCAACAAGAATATGTAACTCTCAAAAATATCTACACACCAACATAGAAGAACCAAATATATAAAGCAAAAATGACAAACATAAAAGGAAAGATCAGTAGTAATACAATAGTACAGTAGGGGGCTTTAACACCCCATTGAAATCAACAAGGAAACCGGCCTTAAATGACACATCAGATTGGAGGGACTTAGTTGATATTTTAGAACATTTCACCCAAATGCAGAATATACATTCTTTTCAAGTGTATGTGGAACATTTTCCAGGATACACGTATCAGGAAACACAAAAAGTCTCAATAAATTGAACAAGACTGAAATTATATCAAGCATTTTCTTCTATCACAATGGCATGAAACTAGCAATCAGTCACAAGAAGAAAACTAAAAAACACAAGCATGTGGACACTAAATAACATGCTACTAAACAATAAATGGGTTAACAACAAGATCAAGAAGGAAATCAAAATACCTAGAGACAAATGAAAATAAAACCGAAAAGTCAATGGGACACAGCCAAAGCATTTGACAAAATCCAATATCACTTTATGATAAAAAACTCTCAGCACCATGTGAATAGAAGGAACATAGCTCAACATAATAAAGGCCATATATTCCATGGTGTAAATGTCCCACTGCTTTTTTATCCACTCATCTCCTGATGGGCATCTGGGATGTTTCCAGGTCTTAACTATTATAAATTGCGCTGCTATAAACATAGGGGTGCATAAGTTCTTTCTGATAAGTGTTTTGGGTTTCTTAGGATATATTCCCAGAAGTGGATTCACTGGGTCAAATGGCAGGTCAATTTTTAATTTTTGGAGGAACTTCCATACTGTTTTCCACAGTGGCTGCACCAGTCTGCATTCCCACCAGCAGTGTACCAGGGTTCCCCTTTCTCCACATCCTCGCCAGCACCTGTCATCTGTTGATTTGTTGATGGCAGCCATTCTGACAGGTGTGAAGTGATACCACATGGTGGTTTTAATTTGCATCTCTGATGATTAGCAACGTTGAGCATTTTTTCATGTCTCCTGGCCATCTGTATGTCCTCTTTGGAGAACTGTCAAATCAGGTCCTTAGCCCATTTTTTAATTGAATTATTTGTCTTCCTCCTGTTGAGCTATATGAGTTCCTTGTATATTTTGGAAATTAGCCCCTTATCAGACGTATCCTTGGCAAATACATTCTCCCATACTATGGGGTTCCTTTGTATTTTGAGGATGATTTCCTCTGCCGTGCAGAAGCTTTTTAGTTTGATGTAGTCCCATTTGTTCATTTTTTCCTTTGTTTCTGTTGCCGTAGGAGACGTATCAGTGAAAATTCCACTACGAGAGATGTCTGTGACTTTACTGCCTATGTTTGCTTCCAGGATGTTTTTGGTTTTGCAACTTACATTTACACCATGGAATACTATGGAGCTGTAAAGAAGGATCTCGTACCCTTTGGGACAGTGTAGATGTTGGACCCGGAGAAAATTATGCCAAGTGAAATAAGCCAGGTAGAGAAGGACAAACATCACATGAACTCACTTATATGTGAAATCTAAAGAACAAAGTAAACTGATGAACAAAACAGATCCAGTGACATAGAAGACAGAACAGACTGATGAATCTCAGGGGGAAGGCAGGGGTGGGTGGACTGGGGAAGAGATTAACCAAAAAGTTTATATGCATAAATGAATAGCCCATGGACACAGACAATATAGTGTGGTGAAGACCAGGGGCGGGGGAAGAAGAGGGGGTGCGGGTTAGAAGGGGTCAATGGGGGAAAAAGGGAATATCTGTAAGTCATTCCACAATAAAGATAAATTAAGAAAAAATAAAATAAAGGCTATATATGACAAACCCACAGCTAACACTATAATCAATGGTTAAAAGCTGTAAGCTTTTTCTTTAAGATCAGGAACAAGGCAAGGATGTCTACTTTCACCACCTTAATTCAACATATTATTGGAAGTCCTAAGCATAGCAATCAGACAAGAAAAAGAAATAAAAGGCATCCAAAATGGAAAAGAAGTACAGCTGTCATTATTTGCAGATGACATGCTATATAAAGAACACTAAAGATTCCACCAAAAAACTATTAGAACTAATAAGTGAATTCAGTAAGCAGGATACACAATTAATATTCAGAAATCAATTCGATTTTTATACAGCAATAATGACTATCAGAAAGAGAATCAGGAAAACAATACTATTTACAATTGCATCAAAAAAATAAAATACCTAGGAAGAAATTTAAGCAAGGAAGTAAAAGAACTCTACTTGGAAAACTGTAAGACACTGAAGAAGACACAAATAAATGGAAGGATACACCATGCTCTTGGACAGGAAGAATTAACATTGTTAAAATGTCCATAGCGTCCAAGGCAATCTATAGATTTAATGCAAACCCTATTAAAATACCAATGGCATTTTCCACAGAGCTATAACAAATAACCCGAAAATTTATATGGAACCAAACAAGTCTCCAAATATCCAAAGCCATCTGAAGGAAGAACAACAAAGTTGGAGGTATCATGCTACCTGATATCAAACTACAAGGCTATAGTAATCAGAACAGCATGGTACTGGCACAAAAACACATTCATCGATCAATGGAACAGAATAGAGAGCCCAGAAATAAACCCACACCTATATGCTCAACTAATCTATAACAATGGAGGCAAGAATATACAATGGGATAAAGACAGTTTCATCATTAATGGTGTTGGGAAAACTGGACAGATACATGCAAAGGAAAAAAAAAAAAGAAACTAGACCACTTTGCTACACCATATACAAAAATAAAATAAAGATGGATTTAAGACTTAAATATAAGACCTGAAACCATAAAAATCCTGAAAGAAAACATAGGCAATAAACTCTTTGACCTGGCTCTTAGCAATATTTTTTTGGATATGTCTCCTCAAGACAGGGAAACAAAAGAAAAAATAAACAAATGGCACTACATCAAACTAAAAAGTTTTTGCATAGCAAAAGAAACAATCATTAAAATATAAAACAACCTACTGAATGGGAGAGATATTCACCAATGATACATCTGCTAAGAGGTTAATATCCAAAATATGTAAGGAACTCAAACAACTTAACACCAAAATAACAAATAATCTGATTTTTAAAAATGGGCAGAGGCTTTGAATAAACATTTCTCCAATGAGAATATACAGATGGCCAACAGACATATGAAAAGAGGCTCAACATCACTGATCATCAGGGAAACACAAATTAAAATCACAATGAGATCACCTCACAGACTTGTCAGAATGTCTGTCATCCATAAATCAACAAATATGTGTTAGTGAGGATGTGGAGAAAAGGGAACTCTGTTGCACTGTTGGTGGGATGGTAAATTGGTACAGCCAGTATGGAAAACAGTATAAATATAACTACCATATAACCCAGCAATTCCATTTTTGGTATTTAACTGAAGGAATCTGAAACACTATTTTGAAAAGATATAAGCACCGCTATGTTCACTGCAGCATTATTTACAATAGCCAAGATATGTAATCAGCTTAAGTGTCCATCAACGGATGAATAGACAAAGAAGATTTGGTACTTATTTATATATACATCGGAGTATTATTCAGCCATAAAAAAGAATGAAATGTTGCCATCTGTGACATGAATGGACCTATATAGTATTATGCTAAGCGAAAAAAGTGAGAAAAAGAAAAATACCACTTGATTTCACTTATATGTGGAATCTAAAAAACAAAATAAACCAAAAAAAAACCCTCACAGATACAGAGAATAAATTCATGGTTGCCAGATGAGAGGGTGGTTGGGGGAAGGGTTAAAAAGGTGAAAGGGATTAAGAAATACAAATTGCCAGTTATAAAAATCATGGGGATGTAAAGTATTCTGTAGGGAATAGAGTCAATAATATTGTAATAACTGTGTATGGTATCAGATGGGTACTAGCCTTATTGGGGTGAACCCTTTATAGGGTATATGAATGTCTAATCACTATTTTATACACCTGAACTAATACTGTATGTCAACTGTAACTGAAAAGTTAAAATAAATTTTTACAAGAGAAATCATATACATATTCCACTAAAACTTATGTTACTTTTATCATACATAAAATTTCCCTACCTAATCTTCTGTTAAATGCATTAATACACATAAAAAGCAATATTAAAGCTACTTCAACCGGTTAATAGCTAGTATAATACCAGGATAATGAGCTACTTAACCTTTGTGAAAGGTGGTGCTTAGCTAGGTAAAGTAATAAAGAAAATTAGATATTTGGGAATTCCATCTTAAAATAAGAGTAATATTTCAAACCAAACATTCGTCCATATCTAATTATATCAAATTATTTTTGGAATATGGCAGGATATAAACAATAAATGAGTTATCAAGTTAATTTTGAAAGCATCTAACTGGTCCTATTATTTTAAGCCATTATACTAACCTGCCAATTGTCAAAATATTCCATTAGGCTGTAAATTCTTCCACTTTTGAAGCCTGTGTGTTGGTTCTAGAGAATTCTAATTCAGCATTGTATCCTTACCACAAACCACTGCTTATTTGAGTTATCCCCTTTTCTTTATTGTTCCTGCTACTAATTGAAACTGTCATTAGGCACCGGACAGCCTCTTAATTAAACAGCCTCTTAGTCAACTCATTTTTCTGCCTCACATCTTGCCCTACACTCTGTCATCCACACAGAAGTCTTTCTAAATGACAAAGTGAACATCACTGCCAAGCTTCCAAAAATTATCTAATGTACCCACTGTTCCTCTTTCACACAGACCTTTGATGGCAGGGACTTTGGAGGTTTCTTGTTGCCTAGTCCACTTTATCATAGTGGCTTTCTATATTCTCCAGCTATGCCCAGCACGCCAGTCCTCACCTTAAGAAACAAATTACCTCTTCCAAGTTCCCGTAAATTAAACCTTAAAGAAAGTTTGGATGCACTTACTGCAGTGAAATCCATCTTCAATTCAATCACTTTAGTTAAATCAGGAAGTGCTGCTTTTGATTTGCCCATAGCTAAAAAGGCAGTAGCTCTCCGATAGTATGCAACATAGTTATCTGGGTCACCATCTGAAAATTAAAATAATAAATGTTAGCTCTCAATAATTTATTTTAAAAACCAAGTCACCTGAACAATATTACAGCCTGTAATTCTATTAAGACTAATTAAGAAAACAATGTCTTCATCAATCATGAGTCGTGTTGCCTAGCAAGATCACTGCAAATAAATCCTGAACAGAGGTCAGAAAACTGTAGCCTCTCAGCCAAATCCAATTCACAAACTTCAAGTTAAGAATATTTTGTACATTTTTAAAGACTTGTCAGAAAAATAGAAAAATATGCAACGAAGTCTAAAATATTTATTATCTGGCCCTTTAGAGAAAAAGTTTGGCAACCTCTGATCTGAAATACTAACTATATTCAACTCATAACTTTGTCTTTACTGAAATTTTCTTAAGTGAAATACTGAATGAAAATGTGGACTATGCACTTATTCACAAGATTTTTAAAAACTATCTTGCCCAGCAGACATGGCTCAGCGGTTGAGCATCAACCTATGATCCAGGAGATCCCAGTTCTATTCCCAGCCAATGCACATGCCCAGGTTGCGGGTTCAATCCCCAATAGGGGCGTGCAGGAGGCGGCCGATCAATGACTCTCTCATCATTGATGTTTTCCTCTCTCTGAAGTCAATAAAGATATATTTTTAAAAAATTACAGACTTCCAATTAAGTTGATATATTGAATGTGCAATCTCTATTCCCTCACAAACTACAACTAAAATGGCAGTGAAGAAATAAAGGTACAAACCTTAGACAAAGAATGAATGAGACTAAAGAGCAAGACTAGAGAAGATCAAGATTTGACCAGGCCTGGCCAGTGTGTTCAGTGGTTAGAGCATCAGCCCTCAAACCAAAGGGTCACAGGTTCGATTCCCAGCCCTGGTCAGGGTATGTGCGGGAGGCAACCAATTGATGTCTCTCTCACATCAATGTTTCCCTCTCTTCTACTCTCGCTCAAAAGCAATGGAAAAAAATATCCTCATGTGAGTATTAACAAAACAAAAAAAATGTTTGAACAAAGGAAAGCAGATGGATGAGTTAGGTTTTTTAGCTAATTGCACTCTGCTCAGCACCTACAAAGTGGGGAAAGAGTGAATTCAATTAGAAGCAAATCTCATGCCAATCCTTCCAAAAAGCAACTTTGAAATATATATATCAAGAATGTTAAAAGTGATCTTGACCAAATCTGGCCATTTATCTTAAAAAACAAAAAAACAAAAAAAAACCCTATATGCACAGATGTCCATCATTATAAAATTTACCACCAAAACTCACTAAAATTTCTACCCCTGAAAGTCCTATCATTTGAAAAACATTACAATATGGAAATCTATGTAGCAGAATAGTGTATAATTATTCAAAATCAAGGTTTCGAGCAGTTGTAAATGTCATTGAAAACTACCTGAAGTGCTGCTGGGGGAAGGTGAGGCAGGAGGAGAGAAAACCAAATGTGCAAGAAGGTACAAACGGTCAATAAGCACATGAAAAGATGTTTAACATCACTAATCATCAGGGAAATGCAAATCAAAACCACAATGAAATACCACTTCACACCCATTATGAAAGTACTGGTGAAGATGTAGAGAAACTGGAGCCCTTGTGCACTATTGGAGGGGCTGCAAAATGATGCAGCTGCTCTAGGGGAGTTCCTCAAAAATTATACATAAAATTACCATATGAACCACCAATTCCATTTCTGGGTATATAACCAAAAGAACTGAAAGCAAAGTTTAAACAGACATTTGTATACCCATGTTCACAGAAGCATTATTCACAATAGCCCAAAAATGGAAAACAAATGTGGCATTTGTACAGACAATGGAATATTATTATTTAGTCTTTTAAAAAGGAATGAAATTCTGATACATATTACAACACAGATGAACCTTAAAGACATTATCCTAAGTGAAATAAGCTGGACACAAAAGGAAAATATTGTATGATTCCACTTCTATGAGGTACCTAGAGTAGTCCATTTTATAGAAACAGAAATTAGAATGGTGGTTGCCAGGGAATGGGAAGGGAATAGGATCAGAAATGAAAAACAACTATTTAATGGGTACAGAGTGTCAGTTTGAGATGAAAAAGTTCTGGACACGGGTGGTGGTGATAGCTGCTCAACAGTGTGAATGCACTTAATGCCACTGAACTATACGTTTAAAATAGTTAAAATGGTAAATCTTGTTATATATATTTTATTGTACTGAGGATTTTATTATAGTAATATTTTTAAAAAATAGAATTGGGCATTTTAACATTTAAAAAAGTTTATTTTTTCTTAAATCTGAAACAAAAACCCCCACACACGATGACAGCTAAACATTATTGAAATTTCTTTCCTAATCAATTTCCCTTGGAAGGAAAGGAAAGAAGAGCAAAGTCAGTTGCCTTTGTATAGGGCGTTTCCTACAAACTATTGTAATTAACTTGAAGAAAGAATAAGAAACAAAGTAACTATATATAGAGCATACTTAATACAGAATATTTTTAGACCATATTTAATTTAGATTGTGCAATAAATTAAAAATATATTGGTTTGGTCAGCATAACTGGCCATAAGAATGGTTTGATACCTAAGAATTACTGAAACTTAAGTGACTGCCTCTGAAAGTAAAAGGAAATTCACTATCTGGGCAGATGCATTGTCTTTATACTGTCCATATATTCCAAAATGTTTCACAATGAACATGGAGCACTTTCATATTCATTAATAAAAATTTTTAAAAAGTTCTCCATGACTTATTTACACTAAGCAAAGAATAAGAAATACTAGAAATAACATGACTTAAGGTCTCCCATTTAGACCACACACCATCATCTTCATATGTCCAACATTCTATTATATATATTTCCTACTGCACCTAACACTTATCACTACCTCCCAATATCAACTATTTATATACACACTTCAGTCTAGAGAAAATAAATTCCTTGAGTGAATTCGTTTTTGTGTCTCCACAGCTAGCACCTGGCCCACAAGTACTGAAATGAAAGGAAATGGGAAAAAAAAAATTCCTGATAACTACAACGAAGAACACTCTCATGTCAATGCCAACACTGAGACCTCCTTAGAACAAGCAAGGGACTCAAAGAAGTCAGCACAGACATACATGGCTCTTAAAGAAACATGCCTCACTAGGATATTCAGATCATTCTCCCACATGAAATTAGCAATGGCATTTTCAAAACATATGTTGCTTATTTTGAACTCTGTATATAGATCTTTCTAGAAAAAAAAGAATGCTTATTGCTAGCTTTGGGCATTTTATCAAGAAGGTACCTTGAGTAAAAACTGCATTGGAATTCCATTTGGGAAAAAATGACGATTTCAGTCTGTGAAGAAAAACCTCCAAAGAGGATTATGTATGACATAGCTTTTGTATTAAGTATTTGATTATATACATATTTAAAATGTCTATATAAAATATTTCTGGGGCATTCATTTTCACTTACTTTACTATTTGGTTTTTAAGTATTTTTAAGACATGAAATGGAACCCCATTTGAATTTATAACACTGAACTTTCTAAAATAAGGAATCAAATGGCAGTGGCTCAATATATGGATCAAGTACCAATTTGCTTAGTGATACAGTCACTTGAACAGCAAAACAGAATAGCCTTCCCTGGCTCTTCACCTTAAAATACCAACAGTCCTTAGAACTAGTGTCCCTTCCTATATCATTGGGTATAAAATAGCAACTGAACAAGGATTGGTTTAAGAAATTCATGCTTCATTTCCCATAATACAAGATTTGATAACCTTTGAAAAAAATCACTTTTCCTATTATCCACTCAACATACAATAAAGTTCATTGAATTAGTTGCAAGCTTGCATATACAGAAATACTCTATTTCATTTGAAAACATGTCATTCAAACTGTTACATTAGTCTATTAGAAATTTGAACATGAGAAATGAATTTAAGGTTTAATCCTAAAACTATCAAACGTTTCAAATATGAAAAAATTAGCCCTAATTAAGAAAGTACATCAGAAAGTCCATTACAAATGATGTTGTAAACAGTGGTAGCAGGAAGCAGAAGGAACATCACCACTGCCTAGGTACAATTTTTTTTTTCTTTTGGCTCCTAGCTAACCCAACTCTATCCCCTTCACTCATTCAAACTTTAACTGGGCCAGACTGGTGTTGCTCAGTGGTTTCGCATCCATCCATGCATCAAGAGGTTGCTGGTTTGCCCGGCCAGGCGTGGCTCAGCGTTTGAGCGTCAACCTAGGATCCAGGCAATCAGGGTTCGATTCCCGGCCAGGACACATGCCCGGGTTGCAGGCTCGATCAATGACTCTCTCATCACTGATGTTTCTATCTCTCCCTCTCCCTCTCCTTTCCTCTCTCTGAAATCAATAAAGATATATTTTTTAAAAAAGAGGTTGCTGGTTCAATTCCCAGTCAGGGCACACGCCCGGGTTTCAGGTTCGATCCCCAATAGGGGGCATGCAGGAGGCAGCCAATCGATATTTCTCTCTCATCGATGTTTCTATCTCCCTCTCTCTCCTCCCTCTCTCTTCCTCTCCTCTCTAAAAAATAAAAACATATTTTAAAAAGTTTAACTGGGTACCAATCAGATATTAAAATAATAACAGTAATAAGGTAGTGCCTGTCCTTAAGAACCTCACTATCTTTTGAACTAGAATGCGACCTTTGGAAAGTCTCTAGAGCACTCTTTGTTTCCTTCTGTATAAATGTGAATAGTAATGTCCATCCCCATTTCACAAGTGAGGTTCAAATGTCATAAGAAAGGACCATATGCTTAAATGACAATGACATGGACTTTGTTTTTTTATTTAGCAAAACTACATTAGTGTGATACTAGTTTTCTCACAAGCAAACAGAGAAACCTATCATTTCAGACATGCCCATCATTTAATCCACTTTAGACATTCATTCATGCCAGATATACTTAAGACATTTTGTAAGGTCTATCAAAGACATTATTTCACACCCCAGAATAAAATTTCAGACCCAAGGAACATAAGACTATGCTGTGGGAATGAGAGGTGGGGCTATCTTCACACCTGCACTACAATTTTCTCTAATGATAAATCTCTAAATAAAACTTGTGTCTGACTCCTTCATCACAATGAAATGGATGCAACTGTTTCAGAAGACTATTTGAAAAGTGATAACACTCTTTCTTAAATCAAAATGTCTCCAACAGATCAAGAATTTTCCCCACTCAGTTATAAATCTTAAAATGCATGCCAAAAAATATTTCTTTGCCAGATACAAAAAAATTTCAAACCAAATCACTAATAGATCTGTACTACAAGGTAGAAACAATTATTTCTGTTGCTATGCAGTTTTAATACATAAACCTTTTATGTATTATGTAAAATGTAATCTTAAAACATAACACGCCCAAGTAATTTTCAAAACATACCAAGTAATTTTTCAAAAATAAAAATGGAAGGGGTGTCACAACTATAAATAATGTCTGCAACATTATAATAAAAATGATTCATTGATACAATGCTGCTAGCCAAATTCTATTAAAAACTTTAACATCAATTTATAATCACAACGAAGTTAAAGAAATAAAGTACATTACAACATTTAGAAGTTGGGAGGTATAAGCATTTTTATGAATGAGTAAACATTTAACAAACTTTTTAGAGAGTCAGTTTAAAGCAATGTATTAAAACATGGATGATATTTTACCACAAAAGATCAGCACACATTTTGAAGTAGCACAATCCTATGACCTGCAGCAATAAGTGCATAACTTGTTAGTCCAGAAGAATTCACTGTTAGCCAGTGGCTTTCACAAACTCACTGGGTTACCTGAAGCAGCCAACATGGCCATACTAAATTTGATGTTTGGTAAAGAAGACAACTGAAAGAGGATCTACACTTCTTTTCTGATAAACATACATCTCCTGAGAGATTCAACAGGCCATAACACCACATCACTCCATCACTATCTACTATAATGGTCATCATATATAACTTAAGCTTTTCTTTTTCTTTCTTCCATTGNCACATGCCCAGACCAGGGCAGGGATCAAGCCGGCAACTGAGATATGTGCCCCTAGACGGAACCAAACCCGGGACACTTTAGTCTGCAGGCTGAAGCATTAACCACTGAGCCAAACCAGCTATGGCTAAACTTTATTTTCTATAGTTAGTTATGAACAACCAGTGTTTTACATAAACTAAAATGATGACTATCTCAAACCACATGTCTTCCTCAGAAATTACATCATTTGCACCATTTGAGAATCACTGCTACTGGCAAAATTATGAACAAAGTGGCATTGCTATTCAAATTCTTACTGCAACAAATGTTTCACTTTGCCCCTTTACTAAATTTCACAAATGAATTACTTTACTTTAGCTTTACCCGTTTATATCTTTCAGTGAAGACAATATTTTATCACATATTTTGGGGAAGAGCCAGCTGAAGAATTCTTGAATTGCAATGGAGCTAATGAAAAATAGGCAGTCATTTTAAGCTACTTTAACAATACGCCATAACCCTTAATGTTTCTGCTAAATGTGGGATTAAAGAATGCAGATAATAAAGTATAAAATAGGTAGAAAGCATAAATTTCTGCAAATCTCTTGTGGCAGCAGGGAAGAATGAGTTTTTTTTTAAGACATGCTTATCTAAGACAATAACTATTTTTTAATTACCATGCTGCAGCACTGAAGACAGTTCAAATCACCAGAAAAGTAACTATTATACTGATGATCTCAAGTAATCAAGAAAATTAAACTGTATTTATTGGAATATTCTAAGAGGAAACAAAATTATGCAATATGTTGAAAAAAGTTGTGTCAAAATTATCCTGAATTACTCTTTTTAAAAAATATATATATATGTATATATATATATATATTATTGATTTCAGAGCAAAGAAGGGAGAGATAGAAGCATCAATGATGAGAGTCATTGATCAGCTGCCTCCTGCATGTCCTCCACCGGGGATCAAGCCCCAACCCAGGCATGTGCCCCGACCAGGAATCGAACCATCATCTCCTGAATCCTAGGTCAACGCTCAACCACTGAGCCACGCCGGCTGGGCTTGAATTATTCTTGGTCTTTATAGTAGCTAATCTCAGTTACTACCTGGCAAATTCTCTCATGCTAAACACATATGCATAAAAGTGTGATGCATTTATTTTACCAATCTGTTTCACTCAGAATCCTGCAAATATTTTTAAATGTTGTATTTAAGCATTAAATAATGTTTAATTTAAGTGTCATTCAAAAGAACAGCTATAAATTAAAACTAACTAAGCTGGCCACTGAGTGTTGTACTTTCAAGATACAAACCTACTGCAGCATGAAATTGAGATAAAGCATCAGCTAGCTGTCCAGCGGCAAGTAATTTCTTCCCCAATTCAAGATGTTTCTCAACATCTGCATTTACTCCACATTCAGCGCCTAAAAAAAAGTAAAAAAATAAGTTAATTTTCCATGGACCAAGATTTAATTCTAAAGAATAAAACGTTAAAGCTATAATTATCTCTCGCAGACATTTATCAGATAAGAAAAATGAAAGGAGCTGAAAAGTGATCTTGAGAAAGTAACAATAAAGCACAAACAGTGCTTCATTTCATAGAGTAAAAGCAACCCCAAAATACACCGTATCAACCTAGTCAATGAAAAGAATGTAACCAGTCTACAAGATATAAGGGAACCTGTACAACACAGTAGTAAAAATATGTTGAACAACAAAATTAGAACTGCTTTGTTAAATTAGACTTTCACGTTAATGAGAGCACTATAATATTCAAGTACTTGCTGAGCATCTACAATGCGCCAGGCACCAAGTATTTGGGGGTAAGTGCAAAAACAAGCAAAAACCTGTGCCACTCACAGTGCCTGACGTTCTGTCGAAATAATAAGTAAATTACACAGCATGTTAGAGGAAAAGTACTATGGAAAAAATAGAGCTGTGTGACGGGGTTCAGGAGTGCTGGGACTTTCAGCATTAAATAAGGTGGTAAAGAGTGGGCTTCAATGAGAAGCTGACATTTGAGCAAAGACTGCATTGAAGACAGTGAGGAACTCAACATGCAAACATCTGGGAAAAAAGCTTTCCAAGACGAACCAGCTAGTGTGAGGGCCCTAAGTCAGGAGCATGCCAGGTTCTGTTCTAGAAACAGCAGGGAGGCCAGAATGGCTACCACAGAGCCAGCAGGGCAGACCACAGTATTAACATGAAGTCAAAGTAGAGGGCCTATGTGCGGCTTCGGTTTCACTCTGGGTAAAACAGGGAGCTACTGAGAAACTGTAAGTAGAATAACATGATCTGACTGAGCAAGAAAACTACCAATGTGCTGCCCCTCTGCTCTGAATTCATCCTTCAGTACTTGGCTGTAAAAAATAGGCTGGAGGCCCGGTGTGACTCAGGTGGTTTAGCGTCGTCCCATACACCAAGAGGTAACCAGTTCGATTCTGGTTAGGGCACATGCACAGGTTGTGGGCTCGATCCCCAGTGAAGGGCATGTATAGGAGGCAGTCAATCCATGTTTCTCTCTCATCGATGTTTCTACCTCTATGTCCCTCTCCCTTCCTCTCTAAAAAAATTAATAAAAACATATAGAAAAAATTATTTATTGCCGCCCTGGCCAGTGTGGCCCAGTTGTTTGGAGCGTCGGATGGGGTGGATATGGGAGGCAACTGATCTCAATGTTTCTCTCTCACATCATTTCCCTCTCTGTCTCCCTCCCTCTCTAAAATCAATTTTTAAAAAAATCCTCAAGTGAGAATTTTAAAAAATTATAAAAAATTATTTACTGCTCATCCAATTCATGTCAACGAGTTTCAGGTACAGACACAAGAGCTCTTTTTATAAAGCTTATATTCTAAAGGGGACAGACAAGAAAAATAAATGAGATAATTCAAACAGTGTTAAGTTTTATGAAGAAAATGCAAAAGGAAAAGGAAGAGTATTAACTGAAGAGAGTGATTTTTACGTAGTGTGTCAAGGTGGGCTTCTTTGAAACCTAAATACTCATTTGAAGATCTCAGAAGAGCTTTCCAGACTGTGGGAATAACAAGAATAAAAACCCTTTTCAGAAATGGGAGCCTGGTGATGGAGGGGAGGATTAAGATGAAAGAGGCAATAGGACTCAAATGTAAGGCTTTGTCATGTTAGGGGAGAAAAGTATTGAGGCAACAACAGAAGTTGAGGAAATAGAGACCACCACCAACTCTTTAAACTTTAGCTGCCCAGAGAAGCAAAGACACAGGTCAGCAGCTGATCTGACACATGACATAAAAGAACAGTTTAAAATGGACACAGTACAGCATGTTGTAGTACTAATGTCAATGACCCAGCAGAGACGAAGAAAGTAATGACATAGGAGAAAAACAGAAATATTGTAAGAGCAATATTTTCAGAAAATAGAGGAAATGAAATCCAGGACATAAGTACAGAAATTGGATTTTGGCCCTGGCAAGTGAGGCTCAGTTGGGTGAGCCTTGTCCCGTGGTCCAGTGCACCAAAAGTTTGCAGGTTTGATCCCAGTCAGAGCGTGTACAGGAGGCAACCAATTGATGTTTCTCTTTCTCTTTCTCTCCCCACCTCCCTTCCTCTCTAAAATCAATAAAAACATATTTTTAAAAAAATAAAGAAATTAGATGTTGCCAGGAAGAGATGCTTTCTCCATTTTAATATAAAAAAAGTAGAGGGGATATGATACATGGTGATGGGAAAATAAAAGAAAAAGAAAAATCACAGAATAGGTAGATACAGGTAGGCTAGTGGATTGGGTGATAGAAAGAAGAGAAAACTGCCCCATGATCTCTTTCATTTTCTCAATAAAGACAAGTTCTAAAAGAATGAGGTAAAGGAAGAAAGGAAAAGGGGGATTTAAATTGGAGATTTAAGGAAAGAGGAAAAGGTCTGAAGTACTGGTATTAAAGACAGACATACTAGGGAATTGTAGGAATGTTGGCAGTATTGAGTGTACTTTCAAATTGAGATTACACGCTTAAAATGAGACCAGTCAGCAAGGTTATCTCCATTTTTCTCCACCCATGTTCAGCTCTCAGGTACAACAAACAAGTTGGTGGCCAAGTTAGATTTAATAGGTGTTAAATTGTGCCAAGTGAACAAAACAGAAAATACGAGGGCAGGGAAATTAAAGGGTGTTTGCAATGGAGTAACTACAAGACGAACCACTGAATCTAAACTGAGAAAGGAGGGAAGAGGACATGGATGCTTCACAAAGCATGTCTTATACCTCCAACCGCTCTGTGAACTCAACAAAAACCGCTGAGTTCTATACTATGTATACTTCACCAAAGAATGCTACAGTGTAAGCCTGTGCTGACTGATTAAATGAGTATTCCCCATATTTCAGAACTCCAAATGATACAAACTCATCAGATTTTTTTTAAAGCAGCTTTCTAAAGATCTCAAAAGAAAAATAAATCTATGGTTGAAATGCTTTAGTTCTAAAGAGCAGATGACTGGGTTCCCATGATATTTCAATATAAACAAAGATTAACTGCTGGACATTAATCAAAGGAAAACTATGGCAATAGAAAGTAAACTTAACCACAATTAATTCACTTCATAAGGAAAATAAAGCCTAATAATTACTTCAGGGCATCCTATCTTAGAACAACTCCCCCTGACCCACAGAATTAAAACTACTGCATTTCCAGGCACTAGCTCAGCAATGCTAACTAGTGAAGTGAATTGGAACTTTGACATTACAGCTAACTATAGCCTATCTTATTAAAAGAATTTAAAATAATTCTAGAAGTTATCTGACCATCTGCAAGAATACTTAGTTTATATAAATTACTGAAAGTCATTCATTTTCCCTATTAGTATATTTATTTATACTAATGTCAAGGAAATCCTAGAGAAGACAAATCATACTTTTAGTAGGTTATGTTCATACAAAAATCACCACCATCTTTTATACTTATTCATATTAAACTATTATTTTCCCTATGGCCAAATATATGACTTAGCTCAGTTCAGGGGTGGGTGTGGGGTGGCGGCAGAAGATCGAAGTTTCTCACATTGATGTTTCTCTCTCTAAATCAATAAAAACATATCCCCGGGTGAGAATTTAAAAAAATGAAAGAAAGAAAAGAAAAACTGGGTCCAGACAGTGGGTCCAGGTAGCATGTTAAGGAAGAAAAAGAGATAAAAGGTTTGGTTCCCAGGTTGTGTTCCTACCGAAGGCACCACATAGAACAAACCATTAGCAAAAAATTAAAATTGCTTTCTGATAGGGGTGCACTTATAATGTCTAAGGATTGAGCACCTGAATTAATGTGAAATATAATTATATTACTTATAAAATTGTAGAACACATATACTTATGTAAGCAGGGATTTAGGTTTTTTTCCCCTTAAGTTTCTGTTTCCTAGACCTTTACGCCCGTATACTCCCCTTGACTCTGGACAAAGCAATTAAGGAGGTGAAGCCGCGGTGGACAAGGTATCCTGAACAGACATGGTCATGCCGACCCAACCAGAAGTCAAGATACCATCTTGTCGAGACATCGCCAGATGACCAAGAACAATAGCTGACACCTGCGGACCTCTGGGGCTACACAATAGCTGCATTCCGTGCCCAGCCTCAGTTTACCCCATTTCCCTAGATAACCCTGTCCCTCAAGCCATTCCTTAAGACAGGTTTTTGGATGTCTGTACGCTCCGTCTTCTTGGTTTGCCGGCCTTCTCAATAAATGCCTTATGTGACTCAACCCTGCCTCCATTGAATTGGATACAGTGACAGGCAGCGCAAACCCCACCCAGGTTTCCTGGTAACACTTCCTTATCTGTAACATGAGAATACTAAAGTAGACTCTACTACACTTTTCTCTCTGCTCCAAAAATTCTATTCCTAATCTAGTGTTCTGGACTTCCTTCCCTCTTTCAAAGGTCTTTTTGAAACAGGGTGCTAAAACTTTCAATCGTAAAAATATTACATATTTTCTTTCTCTGGGTCATCCAAATCTGTAGAGAATTTTTGTGAGTTTATTTCAACCAACTGTTGACAATGGCCAGGAAGCAAAATCTCAACAGATTGAGAAAACACTCCAAAGAATAACAGTTATGCACCTTATTTTATACATTACAATCAAAAGAGAAGACGGAAATGGGTTATATGAAACCCATTGGTAATAGATTAGGGATTCAATAGAAAGTAAAGTGATAGACACACACTTCTTTTACACAGGTGAACCCTGGATAGTTAACAGTCAACAATTAACACAATAACAATGAGGGGATCTGTGGTCTCCCCAGAGCTATGCCTTTGAGGGGTACAGAAAAAGGAAATTACTTTGACATCCCATATGTTATTGTAGATTCAAAAAGACAAAGGACAGGCTCAACAGGTAAAGATTGACCTTTGTTTGGGAAAAATACTGCCTTAAAACATGAGAACCTGTCATAAACTGCTTTTAGTTAAAAAGTTTTAATTTCAGACCATTCTTTGTGGTTACTTAGGTCTGAGTTTGTAAGGCTACCACACAGGCCTTCCCCAAGCTTGTCAGGTCTAGTATGTGGTCCTTTTTGTCCACAGTTACAATGAACAGAAAAGCCTGGGGGGGGGAAGATGAATATTTCTAAATCAGAAAAAACTAGGCCAACTAAGCTACTTATTGGTGACACTCTCCATCCAGTGCAACTCTTTGTTTCACATTCACTCTTCTCAAACCCATTCTACTTTATTTCTTCTTTCTCTAAGCCTCAGGCATACTAGTAGAATCATGCAGATCTGAATGCCTCCAGGACTTTGAGGTTACTGAACCCAGACAAAGAAAGTTATCTGGGAAAATGGTAGCTAACAGTTTGCTAATCCAAGTCAGCGGTTCTTACCTTTTGAGTTCCACCATTAAATTTAGTGTCTACTACATAATTGACACCTAATTTAATTCCTCTATATAACCTATTACACCAGTGACTGTCATCAGCAATTTCTTTTTTAGAAAGGCAAAAGTTCACTGTGTCCCACCCAGACCCACAAGAAACCCAAGAAACTCTTGGAGTGGGGACCTGAACTCTGTTTTTAAAAACCCTCCAGGTTGAGAACCACTGTATTAAACATTGTAGGAAATCACCTTCTTGCTCGTTACTGCTGGTAGCAAACAAGCAAAAACTTCTAATTTTTCTCAGCTGCCACCACTTACAAATGATTGGGCCCAGATGATGCTATCAACCACTTCTGTCTCCAGATAAACTGTACACAGATAAACTTTAGTCAAATAACCTGAGTTCAAATTAAGGATATTAACAGCTACATGACCTTATCCATGTTAATTAAACTTGGAGACTCAGTTCCCTCATCTGTCAAGTAGTAACAATATCACATACCTCCATGAATAAGAGATCACCTACAGAAAGGCGCCTGGCACACAGCAGACCTTCAATAAATTTAAGATCTTTTTCTTTTCTTCCCTACCACCTGTACCAAGTCCCTGCTACTTTATACAGCCAATGCTCTTAAAGAAGATAGCACTCTGGCAGTTCTTGGAGAAATGTCACCAATGCCTCCTATCCAGAAAAGATCTCCAATGAGTTTTTTTCTTATAAAAGAAAAAAAAAAAATCACAGGATGGAAATAAAGTGTTAAGAGTCCTACAGAATCATATACGGAACAGCAATTCTAAAAGGGTAATCCAAAAGCTAGTGGGAAAAGCAAATCATACAAAAGTGTGCCCCTTTTGCAACTTAAAAGGATTGCTGTTGAACAGAACATAGACAACCTTCTCTTAAGTAGCCAAATTAAATCAATGGTAACTGGGCATAAATGCTACATTTGGAGAGGAGGAGGTTACTATTAGAAAACGCCAGAGACCTGGAATACATGACCCATATTAATGTGGTTGAGGCATTCAAATTCCCTAGACTTCCTGGGGCAGCCTCACTGTCCCAATGGTGTCCCCATACATGTACTGATTTTTGGTTCAAAAAGCACGTAGTCACTAGGGGAACGCAAACAATAATAACAAAACAAAACAACAACAAAAACAGCCATGCATGAAACTTAAAAACTGGAAAGTACCCCCCTTTTTTTTTTAACTTTAGAATTTTGAGGGGATTTTACCAGAAACAATTCCTGGTTTCAGCTCCTTACTCCGTCTAATATTAAGTCTCACATTAAAATGTTCAGTTTTACCTCCTTAAGTACCAGTCCTTTTCGTGGGATGAAAATAGATCATTGCATTTGATATGTTATTATACTCGATCGTTTCCCACAGTAACCGAGCTGGGGCATTAGTTCAATTGGCACTTTCCGCTTTAATTATCACTCCTCCCGCTGATACCTAAGATGGGACAGCTCTCTATTTCTGCTATTCTGCTAGAGTAGCCGACAATCCAATCTGTAGGTCTCAAGTGGAAATGTAAACGTTCATGCCTTTTTAAGGGGACTCCCCCTCCCCCCCAAAAAAAACCTCGGAAAAGGAAAGCCAGACCTGAATTGAATGACACCGCGCTAGGAGCTGTAAAACCACAAACTTTGTGCCCTGTTCTCCGGGAGCTTGAATTCCAGCACCGGGTCCTTAACGCACCAACCTAACAAACTCTATACGAGACACAGTGTAATAATAATGTGATGGTTACTCACTTTTAACAGTCAGCACTGTGCCCTTCTCTTCACTCAGCGGGACATACTTCCTCCCGCCACCCCCGGAACTCCGAAGCGAAAGGACCCTCCCCTTTGGCTGCCTCTGCCACCGCCTCCCGGCTCCACTGACCAACAGTAGCCGCCGTGGCCAAACGACGGTGCCGAGGGAGGCCGGCCCCGAGGCTGCTCAAGCCTCCGCGTCCCACGACGCTCCCGAAGTGGCCGCCCGGCGCCCCGCTCGCCCCGCCCCCTCCCGCCCGGCTCCACACCGCGAATCCCCTCTGCCCGCCCCGTGCCCGCCGGTGCCAGCACCTCTTCCCCAAACCAACCCGGAACCAGGCGCCGGCCCCCACCCAGGGGCGGACGCAGGCCCAGGCCAAGCTGCGAAGTCCCGGCTGTCGCCCACCGCCCGGGTCGCCCCGAGACTCGCGCCCGGGCAATGGCAGGGAAGTGCCGGGGGACCTGACCCCGGAGCCCGCTGCTCTCGCCAGAGCAGGGCACGACTTACCTTCGTACTGCAGGTCCACCAGGACAAGCAGGAAGGGGAACACCGAGCCCAGTCGGCTGGTCACAGAGCGGGGGGCCACCATGTCCGAGAGCGCGGCCGTGAGAAGAAACAAGAGCGCGGGGCCCACCAGTCCCCGCGGACGCTCAGGCTGCAGCTGCGCCCGCCAGCCGTCGGCTCTCGCTCAGGCCTAAGCGTCAGCTGGCGCCCACCGGAGAGGAAGGCGGCTGTGGGCGGGGCGCGGGCGACGCTACGCCCCGAGTGCTGCCGCCGTCCAATCGTCTTCTTCCTATTCGCTTTTCTACCGGGCTCGCCGGGGTCGTGGTTCGCGCTGATAGGCTGCGGAGGCCATCGGCCCGCCCCGGCTGTGATAGGATAACGTGGAAGCAGGAGACGAGGCTGCGTCCGCCGGCTCCGGAGCTGTCAGGGTCCTCCGTGCTGCCGCGGCGGAGGGAAGCCGCCGGGGAGTCTGGGCGGCGGACGCCCAGTCCGCATGCGCGAACTGCGAAAGCCTTTCTGGGTCGGTCCCCGCGCGCTAGGTTAGCGGGGAGCTTGAGCCGGGCAGCTTTTGGAGAGGAAGGTAAAGCCGTGACTTCCGGAACGAGAAGGTGAAGCCTCGTCCCGGGAAGACTGAGGGGAGCTTTAAAGCGCCTGGAATTGAGGTCTCGGAATGACCTGGTGAACCCGAGGAATGACAGAGTCTGCTGCCTCCCGCTGAGCGTCTCCGACCGAACTGAAAAGCTAGAGAGACGGTCCGGAGAAGCTGGTGAGCCGATGGAGGCCGGAGCATTGCAGGGACCACCGGAGAGAAGTACAGGAGTGACCTGAGGCACTAAATGAGAATGGCTTGGAAGTTTGGGGACCCTCCCCTGGACCCCCACTGCCCGCAGAGGAGAACGGAACCTGGAAGATCCCGTGAAGAAGAAACCGGGGAGGCGCAGCAGCTAAGGCAGCGAGGGGCGCCTGAGAGCGCAGCCAGCGCCAACTACAGGAAAGAAGGGAAAACAGAAAACACACCTGTTAGAGGGGATCTTGCATCTTGTGCGCGTCAGAGGAGATTCACAGTAGAGGGAAGAACTTGAACAAGATGAAGTTCACGGTTCTTAACTTGGCTTTATGTTTGTGCACGGCCACCTCCTCTGGCGCCTCCAACACGCACACTATACACCCGTGGTGTTTTACTTGGGGTAAAACAGTAATGTTTTTCTGTGTTAAGCGTTGTCAAGTGCAAACTTACTACTTTACCCATGAGTATGTATTTGCCGCCTCGATGCTACTTCACACGGTAGGAGAACTCATGAATTACAGGTAGCATAGTGATGATTCGGGGATTTCCCCGAAGCTACGACTAAGGAGAGTAAAAGCAGAAAGGCTTCTATTTCCAAGGGAACTAGTGCAAAGGAAAAGGTTTCAAGGGGGGGGGAAAGAAAAAGAAAAGAGAGTCCCTCATTAGTTATGGTGGAAAGCAGTGTAATATAATGTGAAGTTCATAGGATTCAGATCCAAGAAATGTAATCTCATGCCAAGGCTATTTCTAAATGATCTTCGTCTGTAAAGTAGGTATGATCCTTATTGCCTCAAAGGTTTGTTTTGAGGTCTCATGAAGTGTAAAGGTTCTTGTAAATTATAATGTGTGAGACAAATGTTACTCATCCTTCTAACAGAATAATGAAGAAATTCCTCTTTGGAAATTCCTTGGGATATATTTGTTATTGGTGGTGGTTTGCCCTTTTCCTTTTGACATTACAAGGTGGTATTAGTGACAAAAATGACAGATGATTTTAATGTCCACAAGTAGTTAGCGAAGACATCATCTAAATGATGTACTGTAGCCAAGGCAGCCAATAAAATGCTGAATCTAGCAAGGAAAGAGTTTTGTAAACAAATAAAACTAGACCGCGAATCATTACCAGAATGCTGCCCATGATTCTGGTTTTAATAAAAGCAGAGCTAAAGAAGTTCTAAGAATGGAAAATAGGCTGTTAAAGGGAAGTTTTAAATTTCTTATTTTAAAAACAGGAAGTCATCAGAGTGTTTTAAGCAGAAGTCTGGCGTTACTAGATTTAGGTTTGGCTGCTGTATGAAAAATAGATTGTAGAGGGGTCAGCAGTGTGCCTAGTTAGGAGGGTGTTGCAGTAGGCCAGGTGAAATGATGGTAGCTTGAACTATGTTGGTAACTACAGAGATGGAGATGGAGAGGAGCCAACAAATGTGGCAGGTATTTTGGTACTAATAAATGGGATAGATGAGAGTAGGACCAAGTGAGTGATCAAGTTACCTTCATCAGTTAATTATTCTTTAATTGCAATACAAAAGTAAAGCCTAAAGTATTTTTGATAGTTCTTTAGGCTCTGGAAAAACCAATTGGGGAGAGGATATAAAATATAAAAGGCTCACTTGTTGAACCTCTTATTACAAATTCAGAGCAATGGTATGGAAACTGAAATGGAAAAAAAAAAAAGCAAACAAAAGGACCTAGCTGGAGCCTACCTAAGCCAAGATAAATATTTCCATGGGCTAGAAATAGGGGGAGGGGTGGTGGGAGGCTACCACAAAGTCATGTGGAAGCAGAAGCCACAGGAAAACTAACCTATGTTTTACATCTAGAAAGGAACAGAAAGTAATCCAAAGACAGTCTCCTGTTCTCGGTGCTTGAAACCATCACCACTGGCAGCTCTATTTTAGCTGCTTGTTTACATGGAATTGTGGAAACCTAGGAATGTGGAATCAAGCTGTTCCTTACTGGCTCTGCAGTATCAACCTGGAACTGCGATTATGAGACAGGAGACAGTGAGGATAGAGAGAAAGATAAGTGGAAAAACAAGAAAGCAGATAAACAAAACCTTACCTTTACCTTTTACCTCAAAATGGAACTGCAAAATAAAATTTCAAAACATACCAAGAACTCTAATGCTAAGAAAGACGAGCCACAAATCAACTGAACCTGAACTCACTTAAGAGGAAATTAATTTTATAGGCTAAGGATGCCTACAGGCATAAAGAAACCACTTCCACAAATACAAGAAAGAAGTATGGGACAAAACTGGCATAAAGGAAATGAAAACACATAGATATATAAAAAAAATACTTGTATTAATCTCCTAGGGCTGTCATAATAAAGCACCACATACTGGGTGGTTTAAAACAATGGAAATTTATTTTCTCACAGTTCTGGGAACTAGAAATCCAAAATAAAGGTGTTGGCACGGCCATACTATCTCTAAGGCTCTAGAAAAGTCTTTTCTTGCTTTTACCTCATTTCTGGTGGCTCCCAGCAATCCTTGGCATTCCTTAGCCTGTAGCTGCATCATTTTAATCTCTGCCTCCACCTTTGCATGGATTCTTTGGTGTGTCCTCTCCTTTACTTCTTAACTAATTACATCTGCAAAGACTCTATTTCTAAGTAAAGTCACATTCTGAGATCCTGAGTGGACATGAAATTTGGGGTAAGGAGCAGTAACCCACCACAATAATCAATAAAACAAGAACTAGTCCCTGAAATTAAAAATTAAAAACACACTCTAATACACCACACACACACGCGAACATAATGGATGGAATAAGATCTAGGACACAAATTGAAAGAAATAGAAGACATTTTAAAACATAGTACTGTAAAAAACTCTTTGGCTAAGCACACACAAAAATCTTAGTGAGGATTGGAAACCCTTAGAAAATATGGGCAAAATTTTAACGAGTTTTGTCTAGCTCTTTATCTAACAGCTCTATATGAAGAGAGAGATGATGATCTGCCTAGCAATAGGAAATTTTTTTCAAATGCATGGAACATTTACAAAATCTACCAAATAATAGTTCACAGAGGAAATTTTACAAATTCCTAAGGATTGTTATATATTTTATATTCTCTGTTCATGATGCAATTAAATTGAAAGTCAACAATAAATAGATTTTTCTAATGGATGTGCTTGGAAACAAAAAGTGTGTCTCTAAATTAGAATGAAGACAAAATCACCAGAAAAGTTCCAAATTAGCAAAACTAGGTGATAATGAAAATGCTATATTATAATTTGTGGAATGCTCCTAAAGCAAGTATTTAGAGGGAAATTCATAGCCTTAAATGCTTTCTGTTTAAAAAAAAAAAAAAGGAAAATGAATGATGCATTCAGCTCAGGATGCTAGAAACACTACAGAGCAAGAATAAAGAAACAGAAGGAAATAAATGATTTTTTAAATGAGCAGGAATTATTGTATTGAGAGTGGTGATGAAATATGAGGCATCTAAACCAAAAAGCTAGTTTTCTACAGAAGTTATAAAATAGACAAAAATAGAGCAAGCTTTAAAAAATGGAGAAAAGGTTCAGCATCGACGCACGAACCAAGAGGTCACTAGTTCAATTCCCAGTCAGGGCACATGCCCGGGTTGCAGGGCCCAATCCCAGGTGAGGGGTGTGCAGGAGGCAGCCAATCGATGTTTCTAAACATTCAGTGCTATAAGACAATTGAGCAAAATTTATTCAAGCCCGGCTATGTGTGGCTCAGCTGTTGAGCATCAACTTAGGATCCAGGTGATCTGGGGTCGGTTCCCAGTCAGGGCACATGCCCGGGTTGCGGGCTCGATCTCCAGTCGAGGGAGTGCAGGAGGCAGCCCATCAGTGACTCTCTCATCAGTGATGTTTCTATCTCTCTCTCTCTTTCTCTCTCTCCTTTCCTCTCTCTGAAATCAATAAAGATATATTTTTTTAAAAAACCACTTATTTAAGAATAAAGACTACAGGTCAGCAATTTTGNAGGCTCGATCTCCAGTCGAGGGAGTGCAGGAGGCAGCCCATCAATGACTCTCTCATCAGTGATGTTTCTATCTCTCTCTCTCTTTCTCTCTCTCCTTTCCTCTCTCTGAAATCAATAAAGATATATTTTTTTAAAAAACCACTTATTTAAGAATAAAGACTACAGGTCAGCAATTTTGGATATGCAAGAACACCAGAATATTGTTCCTATGAGTCATTCCTGAAGAAACTATTTCTGGATTCANTTTAAGAATAAAGACTGCAGATCAGCAATTTTGGATATGCAAGAACACCAGAATATTGTTCCTATGAGTCATTCCTGAAGAAACTACTTCTGGATTCACATATCATATTTGCCTCTAAGAAAAATAGTATCATGGATTTCATCCTTGTTATCACAATCCTAAATTTTAGTCTTCCACCAGATTGGGTTAGATTCAGTAC